GAAACCTAGACGGATCCACGTAAGAAAAAATACAAAATAAAATTCACTAGCGAAGTGGTAAAACGGTACAAGTCAATTTTGACTGTTGACCAGTTTTCTATGAATATCTCGGAATCTAAGGGAGATAGCAAAATTTTTGTTATAATCTTTTTTGTAGAGCCGACTGAGAGTTACAATAAATGTAATCACAAAAATTTCACTATCTCCCTTAGATTCCTCAAAAACTCAACTGGGCGATAAGTCGACTTAAAGCGCTTCGCCAGTTCGCTACTGAATTAGTTGAATTTTCACGAAATTACTGGATTGAAATCAACAGCTATCATTTACATTCCGATATAATTACTGAAAAGTGCATGAAATGCTTGATTTTTCAATAACAAAATTTCTTAAAATTCCAGTGGAGAAAGTCACTATTGGATTATGTGTAGGAATACTCAATAAAAACACATTAGTTTTATTCTTCAAAGTAAAACTCTTTAATGATCGCACGCAGAAGGTATATCTTTCTCCAACGAAGTCTCTAGGACGACTAACTAAAAGTCATGAGAGTTTTCACTCTCTGGACCCATTTGACAAAAGGCCCTTGTTTCAATTTTCTTCAGCCTCTCCTTTGTGACTCACCATGAGGACTGTTTTTCTTCACGTCTCTATTTTCTAAGAAAAGCCATAAATGTCACACTGAGTGTTTGGGTGGAAAAGAGAAAATGTTTAACTAAACTAAGAAATTAATTTTTGTATTCAGGCATGAATTCCAACAGTCACTCTTGAAAAAAGTGGCAAAATTTTCAATAGTGAAAATTTAAAAAAATAAAATAGACACAAAATCGTTAACCATTGATCATTATATTTTTTTCACTCAGGTTAAGATTTTTTTTTTTAAGAAAAAAAATCACAAATTCAAAACACACCCAGAACACCGGAAGCAATCCCGCGGCATCTAATATCTGCCCCTGCTTCGATTCCCCAGCTGTACGAAGTTACCGTCGTAATATATTAGATAGCCCGACAAACCACCGGGTATCTCCTTCCACGTCTCTATTCATGCGCAGTGCCGGAATCCAGTGAGACGGTGATCGATTATCGATGTCCTCTCTGCCTCCTTATCCACGTGTGTGCAATGACCACGTAGAGGTAACGAGACGCCTCGTGTCACTGCTGAAAGAATTTCTCTCTTCGTTGCAAATGGCAAGCTGGGGAAACTCCAGTGGCCCTTTTTCAGAAAACGCTGTACTCGTGTAATTTTTCTCGAGGGCTTACAAGCCTCGTAGGCTTCTCAGGACCATTTCTCACGTGACTACGCTGCATTTGGCCCGGCTCCAACAACGGAAATAAACTCCTTGACTTGGAGAATATAACATAAAAAATGTTTGGAGTAAAAGGAAGCGAAAAAGTTGGAGGTTTTTGCTTTTGTTGCTATTAAAATGTGGAAGTAAGTCACGTATTCGGCAATTACTGGATTTCTTCATTCTCCTGTGAAGACAGGACTCGAAATTACATGATGATACTTTGAAAAATGAACACAAAGAGTGTCGGGTGAACGTATCATTTATATCAAGCGACTTCCAAGGAAATTTGATGCATTTTCAGCATTGTAAAGTCACAATTTGATGGAAGAATCAATGGAAACTGCTCATTTTAGTTTAATAATTGAATGAAATTGTTCTTTTGCATGAGAATTAGTGAAAATTTAGTGGAATATATTTTAGAATTTTCAATTCACGTGAAACTTCATGATCTTTACTTTTAAAACTATAAAACATATTGCGAAATACAGTTTCGATGCTGCAGAATAAGAATAAGTTGATTCTTCAATTTGTGTTTCATGTCAAATTACCGCAAAAATAATTAATTTAATTGAAAGAAAAACAAGTGAGAAATTGCTTTCATCACTCAATATATTTTTGATAGTAGATTAGCCATTTGTTTCCGAACGGAATTTCTATGACGATGTATTTTAAATTGAATCCAATGGTTCGTTGAATTCACCAACGTTGCCAGCCAACATTGCCCCAACGTTGCCAGCCAACATTGCCCCAACGTTGCCAGCCAATACTACCTCAACTTTCGCAGCCAACATTGCTCCAACATTGGCAGCAAATATTACCCCAATGCTGGTAGCCAACATTGCCGCCACCGGGGCAGTATACATTACTCCAATGTTGACAGCCGACATCATCCCAACATTGGCGGTCAACATTGTCCCAACATTGCCCCAACGTTGGCAGCCAACATTGCCCGGGCGTTAAAATTTTTTACTTTCCCTAAATATTATTTTGAAAATAATTTTTTTCACCAATAGATGATGAAATAATGGTGGGCACAATTAATAATTCCCGAGGTGACATTGGAAAGAATATTTCGAATCACAATTATAGCACACACGGAAAAAAAATATACGTGAATTTTTTTAGTATAAAATATACTTGATTCAAGTATAATTTATACTCAATTGGGGAATGGGTATTTCAATTAGAAGATGATTCTTTTGTATCAGGCCGGGTTGTAGCAAGCCCTCTGAAGTGTAATATAAGGGTCAGGCACTAAGTGTCAGAATATAAAAGTAAAAAAAAGTCAAACGGTGGCGGTGGGACTCATTCTATCTTCTCTTATTCATCTATTTCCATTGTATAATTAGAGAAATAATGATTTTTTAATAATAACTCATTCTATTGAGATATTTTCTATAGAATTTCATCAGCTCAAACTGTTCAACTTTTTTAAAATTCTATTTTTCTTTTCTTTTCAACAAGAAAATCAAACAAAAAACGTAGAAAATTTGAGCCGGCGAAATTCTATAGAAAATATCTCAATAGAATAAGTTGCAAAATCGAGAAGAACAACCGAATTCTATCGACTTTTTTATAGACTAACGCTTCACGCGCTATAAATGTACCCATATTACACTCTTAACGTCAATATGATATCTGTTGGCTTTTTTCCAGCATGAAAATCAGAATTTAGGCTTTAAAAAAGCGTATTTTACGTTTATTAAAACGTAAATTACGTTTATCAAAAATACGAAAAAATCATTGTAATTTACGGCGACTTTAAGCGTAATTTACGCTTTAACGTTAAGCGTAAAAGACGACTTATTAAACGTAATGGATATTTAGTTTTTTCTGTGTGTAGGTCTTATAGTTTTTTTTTCTATAAAAATACATTCATTCCTCATGACTGCATGAGGAATGCATGAAATGTATTGTGTATCCTTGTTGTTGTAATGGATAAATTATTAGAATTCATTGACAAATTTAGAATTTTCAATTTAAATAGAATGTGATTTGATGCATTTGGCGATACTCATTTTTATAGGTATAACTATGCGTATATATAACTAAAGTGATATTTATAGCTATAGTTATGGATATTTTTAAATATACCTATAAATATTTATACCTGTAGTTATATATAATTATACATAGCTGTACATAACTACATAATAGTGTTTATAATAGTTATACATAGCTATAACTATTTACAACTATAGGTACTTATAAATATAGTTATGGCTATAGAAATACCAATGAATAAAGTTAAATTATAGTGGAATACATCGGTGACAGAAAACATTAGACAGATTTTTTTTAAATGGAATCTTTTCGATCGAACATTTCAACAGAATCGGCCAAAAACTAATAGAAATCCAATGGAATTGCCTAGTGAATTCGCTAGGTTTTTTTAAAAAAAATTTCCACGTGTGTCATCCTTCTCATTTCCTCTTTCTTCTCATCTGCTTCGTACTAAAACCAAATGGGAAATAGGAACTAGGTTGATTCCGATACTCCTGGGCGATACAGAATCGTAATCAGAATACATCTTGCTTCTCGTGACTCTGCAGAATACCGCAAACAATGGGTTTGCTCTCGGCAGTTGGTCCGGGGTCGAGTGCAAAATCATCGAAGCTCATCACGTGTCTACCAGCAAAGGAGTACGAATAAAGCATACCGGCGAAAAACAAAGGGTCTGAGAGCCCCATCCCAAACGACTAAAAAGCATTATCAATGTTTGTACATTGTAATTGCTCCGCTTTGTCCTTTAAGAATTCACGATTGTATGACAATAGCAAGTTACAGTGCACGGGCTACACGACGCCGAGACGCTTCTTGATTCTCCGAGTGCCTCGAACCTCTCCCTCCAGCATTTTCAACAAAAAAAGAAAAAAATCACGAAACAGATAGTGAAAACATCTAAGGCGTGGCTAAATGTCAGAATGTGTGGACAACACGTGTGATAAATTATTCTTGTAAACCTGTGGTTAATGAAAATGAGTTAGAGAATTGAAATTACGGTGGTAATGTTTCGGCGTGATCTCGGTCACCCGGAACTCGAATACATCTGCTGTGAGACAGCGTGTACATTACAGTTCCTACACTTTCGACGATTTTGCTGGAGATCATGGGTGAGTCGAGAGGTAGTTTTTAAAGTCACTCAAGTGGATAACACCATGTTGGGAGGAATTCCCAGACGTAGGCAAGTATTAATTTGTCAACTGGTTGGTGATGAGAAAAAATTTAATTTAATTTACTGAGTTTGAAGGTGAGGGGAATCCTCAATGCACTTTTATTCCCACACACACACACTATAGAAATCTGTTATTGACAGAAACGCATTATTGATAGATTCTTACAGCCGATTGATCCGAAAAAATGTTGGGGAATCGGCTCAGTGAGCCGACAACACATCCCCAAAGATCTCCCTTGTAACTAGAGTTTACTCTCCTCGACAAAGGCGGGCCCTCATTGTCACGACGACAATGCTCTCTGCTCATTGGAGTTGTCTAACCAGAGGAGTGACATCCGGGGTCATTACCCCTCGCCAATAACATTTATTTCATTTTTATTTTCTATCTAATAACAATAATGAGAGTAATCATAGAATCGTGACGATGACTTGCATAAGAGTTTAAACTCGACGGACTCTCTCGTATTCCCGATTAGCTCAAGTACGTGTTAGCATGTATTAAGGTGTACATTGGGTGGTAATTCTTCCTTATCTTCCAGATGTCGATCATATAACTGGTGAGAATTTCTTCGATGTCTTGGATAACGGCGTGATAGTCTGTCGCTTGGCTCGTGTCATTCAGGAAAAAGCACGAGCTGCTATCGATGCAGGTCGTGCCAAGGGGGTGAGTCATTAAAAATTTCATTTTTTACAATATTTTTATGGGTAACTGGACAAATTCTCCGCCCAGTGATCCAAGGGAATAAAATAATTGGTGATTGAGTTAATTATTTTTTTCCTTCTGTTGCACGGAAATATTTTGTTGGATTTTATTTGATTGGAGTGTCATTTAATGGTCGAATCAATTAATTGTTCGTTTCGTTTGATAAAAATATTTTTAATTGAGTTACCTTTCGAATAAATCATAATTAAGGTACTCAATTCATTAAATCATTCATTACTTTTTTAAGTTATATTTAGTTGTGCAGTTTATTCAGTTATAAATTTGTTCACTTCGGTTTAACGAATCTCGGTTGGTGATATTTCGATTGATTGAGTGGATTCACTCTCCAAATTTGACTAATTAGGTGGATTCTGGGGCTCATGAAAATTGTGCTGAAATTTCATTCATTATAATGAATGAAAGCTGAGAAAAATTTCAATGGTAATTTTAACTACAAGATATTATCAAAGAAATTATATTTACAGTAACAATAAACTTTGTGGATTAAAATAGGATTTATCGTTCAATTTACTGTGTCAAATAGTGTTATCAACATTATGATGTAATTTTCACTTTAATGTAATAGTTGAATCTACAATGTTTATTGTTACTGTAACTATCATTTTTTTGACATTTTCCCTGTAGTTGAAATTAGCATTGAAATTTCTCTTAGTGTATACACGATTTTTTAAACTAATTAAAAAACTTTTCCGCCCAGTGATCCGAGGGAATAAAATAATTGGAAATTGAATTAATTATTTTTTTCCGTCTCATTATATCATTCAGTTGAATTTTATTCAACTAAAAAATCAACTGATAATCAGATCAATCAATTATTTCTTTCGTTTGATGAAAATATTTTTAATGAAATTATCTTTAAAAAAATCATACTCAATTCATGGCATTATTCATTATTTTTTTAGGTATATATTTAATTGGGAAGTGAACTAACGATAGATTATTTATTTTATTCACTCATCAATGTTTACATTTCGGTTTAACGAATCTCGTTCGATTGATTGAGTGGGTTCGCTCTCCACAATTGTTGAGTGACTAATTAGTTGAATTTTGAGGTTCATTAAAATTGTAGTAATTTCACCATCTACATGATTCCAGAATATTCTAAAAAATTCAATCATAACACGATTTTTTAATTAACTACAACATTTTTTCGCCCGGTCTGGTGATCCGAGGGAATAAAATAATTGAAAATTGAATTAATTATTTTTTCCGTCTCATTCAAACATTTAGTTGAATTTTATTTGACGGAAAAACACTTGATGATCAGATCAATCAATTATTTCTTTCATTCGATGAAAATATTTTTAATGAAGTTATCTCTAAAACAAAATCATAATTAAGCGATTCAATTCATGGCATCATGTATTAGTTTTTTGAGGTATATATTTAATTGGGAAGTGAATTAACGATCGATTATTGAATTTATCCACTCATCAATGTTTTCATTTCGGTTTAACGAATCGATTGAGCACTTTCACGCTCCAAATTTGTTGAGTGACTAATTAGTTGGATTTTGGGGCTCATTAAAATTGTGGTAATTCTACCACGTATGTGATTCGCGAGTTGATCTGAGTATCGAGACGACTGCACGCGATCAACTTGTTGCGTTTAAAACCAAAAACATCGAGAACCTTGCAGCCAAATTAGTGGATTTAATTGCTCGGTATTTGTTTTATGTTTATGGTGTCATCAGCCGGTCCCCGTAATACGTGGAAGATGCTGGGAGAACGCAGCCAGGCGCAGCTTCTTTTCAAGGGATAACATGGAGAATTTTATACAATTTTGTAGACGTCTTGGGGTACACGAAAATCTGCTGTTCGAGAGCGACGATCTTGGTAAATTTTCACTGAAGTTTTCCTCAATCTTTATTTTCACTGATTATTTTTCCCAATTGGATTTCGACCAATCAGAGCGCAGTATTTGAGACGAACCGACAGTTTGACTTCGGATATTTCCGCCTAGCTTTTGAATATTTCGCAGTAACTCTTCATTTTTTTTACCTGAATATTTCCCAGAAATATTTGGGAAATGGACCTATGCTCGTCCCCGTCTCTATGCTCGTTCAAATGTCTGAGCTATCACATTTAAATCATTTTGGGTCTTCCAAGAGTCTATTAAGAACGAAATATGAGTAGAGTTATTATTTTAGTTAATAAGGAAAGTTATGGCCAATATTAATTAGAAAAATGCCGTTAGAAGGACGGCGGTATGTGATCCGACGTTAAAGTGAATCAAATTGAGCATTCCTCATTTTTTTCCGAAATTGATTCACAAATAATCATAGTTGCCAGATTCGGCGACTTGTCGCCAAAATATCTGGTAACGCAGGGTACAGTGGAAATGGTATTGATCCTACGCTCGTTTTGCAAGCAACTGTCAACTTGCAACGGACTAGACGGATGAAAAAATTACTCAAAAGGTTGGACTGTTCAATTGAAATATAATTTTGTGCCTCGAGATATTTTTTAATGTTGTTTTATCCCAAATAGGATACTCACGATGTTATTGGTTCGCATGTAACCTTTCCATATTATTCAAATCACGAGACGAAGATAGGGACACGTGCATGAGGATAAATGAGCGAGCGTAGGAAGACGAGACTTCACGCACGAAAAAATTTAATAGAAAAACCTGTCGAATTCGTTAGAAAATTCTATTGATTTTCTATTAAACTTTTTATTAGTTTTTGGCTGATTCTATTGACATGTTCAATAACTTATTCTTTGCATCTATTTTCTATAGAATCTGCTCGACTCAAATTTTCTAAGTTTTTTTCATTGTATTTTTCTTTTCTTCTAATCAAGGAAATCAAACGAATAAACTTAGAAAATTTGAGCCGAGGAAGTTCTATAGAAAATATCTCAATAGAATAAGTTATATAGAAAAATTGAATTCTATTGACTTTTTCTACTGAATATTTTTTATTGAACATTTCAATAGAATCGGCCAAAAACTAATAGAACAGTTCAATACAAATTCAATAGAATTTTCGAACGAATTGCGTAGGTTTTTCTATTGAATTTTTTCGTCCGTGTTTCCACGTTTATGAACGATTATTTATTAAAAAATAGTAATTATCATGATTAATATAAGTGAATTCTAATTCTGAAGTGTTTACTTTCGAATATCTCATCGCATCTTTACACTCATTTCAATCGAAATATTGGACAAATGTATTCATCTTAGCTATACGAGCGTAGGATCATTTACCTAGCTCTTTATTTAAAACTCATGAGTAAAAAAAATGAAGATGAAAAAAATGAGATGCATCTCCTCCTATCGAATACGCTCAATATATCAATAATTCTTTCAATAAGAATAGTTATTTCGTGTCGTTGGATCTCACCAAATCGTCTGATTGAGTTCAAGTGTCACCGGCCATAATTTAGAGATGACCGGTCACCTCTCATCGCGCAATGGCCCTGGGAGGTCTTTACACTCAGTCAATTGCATGAAATTCGCTTATCAGCGATGGCCGCGATCCCAAAGTGAAATGACAATAATCCCATCCTACACTGTTGTAAATTTTTTACTGGAATTTCCGGTAAAATTTTCGAAAATTTTTGTCACATTATAGTTCCACTGAAATTTCAAGGAATTTTGCGGAAAAAACAACGGAAACCGTCAATTTCTATTCCATTATTCCATAAAAATTGAAAAAAATCAGGAAAATTCCAGTAAATGTGGCCTGGAATTTTCAACTAATGAAAAATTCACCGTGATTTGGCTTTGAAAATTTATATTTTGATTGCAAATTCAAGTAAGTTTGGGAATTCTCGTTTTTTTGCAGTTAAAAACCTTGGAATTTCAGTTGAATTTTCAGTAAAATTTGAAATTCCCTGATTTCTTTTCCTCCTAAGTCGAATTTAATGCCAGTGTCCTGAAAATTGCTAGTCACAAGTCCATGAAATTGCAATATTTCATAGAAAAAGCAATCGAAACTATTAATTTAATTTTAATTATATCGCAAAACTTTATAGAAATAATGAAAATGCAAATATTTTGTCGCCTTTTCAATTTATTGAAAATTCTGAGTGATTTGGCAGCGAATATTCAAGTTTTGATTGAAAGTTCAAGTAAAAGTTGGGAAATTTTTGTTTGACTGATGCTTAAAAATAGTAAATTTCATTGAATGTTCAGTAAAATTTGCAATTTCATAGATTTGTTCTCCTAAATCGAATGAATTGAATGTCGCTCTCCTAAAAATAACTATTCAAATGTGCATGAAGTTCCCGTTATTTTTTTTTTAACATTGTATTGTCAATGAAATATGTCTAGTGCTCCATGGACAGCCACGTAACGTGGTGCTGTGTCTACTGGAGGTCGCCCGATTGGCCTCAAAGTATTCCTTAGAACCACCTGGACTCGTTCAGCTTGAACGGGAAATCGCAGCTGAACAGGAGAGAGATCTACATTGTATGTCTGACAGTGGTATATCTCACAGCAGTCTTGTGTCATGGCAATTTCAGCCTCCCTCGCCCACGCCATCCCCAAGACCTTCAAATGAGATTATGAAGCATAGCAGGTTTGTTTGGATACAACATGAATCATTTTAGGAATCATGCGAAGTGTAATAAATATTTTTGAGGAAATGGAAATTAGAGAAGGCCAATGTTCATAACTATAGAATTATCTTCATTCGACTATGTTGAGACGAAATTGCTTTCGTCTCAACATAGTCAAAATATTGATGCTAATAAATTGAGAATTTGCTTTCGGATGGAATTTCTATGACGATGTATTTTAAATTGAATTCAATGATTCATTGAATTTAACATTGCCCCAACGTTGGCAGCCAACATGGCCCCAACGTTGATAGCCAACATTCGCAACCAACATTACCCTAACGTAGGCCGCCAACATTGCCTTAACACACGCAACCAACATTGCCCCAACGTTGGTAGCCAACATTGCCTCAATTGTCACCGTTGCCTCAACGTTGGTAGCTAAAATTTCGCACGTTGACAGCCAATATTTCCAACGTTGACAGCCAACATTGTCCGAACGTTGGTAATCAACATTGCCCCAACATTGGCAGTCACCGTTGTCCCAACGTTGACAGTAAACATTATCCCACCGTTGGTAGTAAACATTACCCCAACAATGGCACTGAATATTACCTTAACGTTGGTCGCCAACATTTCCCCAACATTGGTAACCAACATTTCCAGCGTTTTCAGTTAACATTGTCCAATTGTTGGCAGCCAACATTACCCCAACTTTGGCAGCAAACATTACCTCAACGTTGGCAGCCAACATTGCCCCAACATTGCTCCAACGTTGGCAGCAAACATTACCTGAACATTGGCAGCTGGCATTCCCCCAACGTTGGTAGCCAACATTCCCTCAACATTAATTTTTTTACCTTCCCCTGAATATTGGTTTCACAATAATTGCTTTCCCCAGCGAAACCGCTGGTTTTTTTTATCAAATTTGTTCGTACGTGTTGTTATGTTGTGCATTACACTTTGGTCCTGAGTTTTATTATTTCGAAACACAGTTCGGCGTCAGAAGTAACTGCATCGAGATGGCTCGACGCCTCACCGACCACGCCTATCGAGACAGATATGCGTAGATCTGTGAGTGACAATGGACCCACAGGAAGCGACGGTGTACCCAGTGATACAACAGAGGACGACTGGTCACGTGGCAGCGCCGAGGATCCCGATGAGGTATCACCAGTGAGCTCACCGTCACCCGCCGAACCCCCGGAACACGTTGGACCAGTGACCGAACTCGATCGAAAGGTATCTCCTAAGAGGAATGCATAATACATGAGCTTTTGCCGTGGCTAAAATTTTATTCACTGGCAGTAATAAATTGTCACGCGGTAATGACTTTAATCATCGGAGATTTAAACTGTAAAGCCATTTATACTCATGTAAACGAGTTCTCATTTCCAATCCAGATTTTTTCTTCAGATTTCTTTTATTTCGAGGGAATTGATTGGGAAAGAAGTTTACTAAATTTAAGTGAATAATTCATGTATTTTTATTATTAAATCTCATATTCTTTCTTGAGTACTTTTAGAATACACCGAGTGAAGACTTCCTCAGAAAATTTTATGGATAAAAAAATGCTCCACAAAATTATTTTCTGACTTGGTTTATCAATAAAAATCTGAAACGTTCCAACCCTAATTAGATTTTCACACGTTAATAAATTTAATCATCTGAGATTTGAACTCTAATGCCATTCATTGTCATGTGAACGATTTCTACTTTTCAATCCAGAAAAATCTCTTCCTTTTAGATTTTTTTTTGTTTGAGGGAATTGATTGGGAATTGAAACTTGGGAAGGAAGTTTACTAAATTTGAGTGAATAATTCATATATTTTTATCATGAATTCTCACATTCTTTTCTGAGTATCGTTGGAAAGCACAGATTTAAAAGACTTCTTCAAAAAATTTTATGCATAGAAGAAAGCTCCTTAAAATTATCTTCTCACTTGTCTCATACCTCGAAAAGTGAAACGAGGCAACCCTAAAAATTAAAATGACTGAACTCCACAATTGCTTACAATCTAGGTGCGACGTGTAGCTGAGCAGGTTCAAAGACTTTGCCAATGTTCGCACGAGAAATGCTCGAGATTGAAGGTGCGAAAAGTTGGAGAGGGACGCTACCACATTGCTGGTCGCAATGTCTTCATTAGGGTAAGTACTCTTTAATGCCCCCCTCCCCCTTCACTCACATTTTTTGCCATATTTGTCATCTTCATTCCGTCACGAAGCGCCTGCTAATTGTTTTTTTACATGCAATTCTCCCATCCTTCATCATTAAAAATCACGGAACATTGAAATAAAATGGAACGATGTTTGATGGGTGTTTTTTCACTTTGAAAAGTTTCGAAAAAGTTAGATTTTTTAAATTCTCTGTTACTCCCATGGTTTTTGAACAATTTTTCCAATTGCACTTTCTTATAGAAAATATACATAATCCTTTAATAAAAAAATCCAGGGTAACGTTTTTTGAAGCCAATCTATTCGGCGTATTATGTCATTAAGTTTTTTATAAATCATGATAACATACATTAAAAATATTACAATAATACTATATTATATTATATTATATTCTATACTATACTGTATTGTAATATAACACAATATCGTATACTCAGTGTGTTATTATTGTTATCAGTTTATTATCTAATTTTTTTTATTATTTACATTATATTTTATAATACATATAGTACTCTATTATATATTGTATATTACACATAGCTTATATAATATAGTATTGTATAAAATATAATATAACATTGCATTACCGTAATATCTTTAATGTATGCTATCATCATTTACAAAAAATCTAATGACACAATACGCCGAATAGATTAGTTTCAAAAAACGTAACACTAGATGTATTATATATAAACAAAATACTATACATTTCTGAAACTTTTCCTGCGGAAAACTTGATATTAACTTCAGAAATCAAATATAACACTATTCACTACAATTGACATACATTGAGCCCCGCGGAGTAGCACATACGCGCGCAGGGCGCGCGGACTAATCTAGTCTACTTGAAAAAAATCCAGTGTAACGATTTTCGAAGCCTCTATCCCGTTTATCAAGTAATGTAATATGATGTCTATATATATTTTTTCATGTACTGTAATCTTTTGCTTACAGTAATTGTAAAAAAAGAAAAATTAATTTCTTACTGTAATAAAAAAAATACTCATAACATAGCATATATGCAGATATAATATAATGTATAGTATATATACTATACATATGTTTTTGCTTCCGAATGGAAGCATTGTTTTATACTGTAATTTTTTTAACAATTAAAAAAATGTAATACAGTTCTGGACAATAAAAAAATTACATATATAAGATAGTATGTACGGATATAGTACATAATACATTTCTAAAAATGAAAAAGAACGCAAAAACCAGAAGAGGAATGAAGAAGACGATGAAGGAGATTTTGATGATTCCGAATAAATTATTCAACAATTGAATTCTCATTGTGAAAAATATTGTTGAAACCATTTATTTTTCCTGCATTATTATTGAGATAAAAATAAATGAAAGTGAGAAACAGTAAGGATTCACTATTCTGGTACCCACGGAAAATAATACGCGCCCTATTCTAGTATGCGAAAAAAAAAACCCCAATTATCATCCCAGTCATTAAAAAGCCGTCCACCCGTGTTCGCAGTTGCTGAAGGGAAGACACATGATGGTGAGAGTTGGCGGTGGATGGGACACCCTGGAGCACTTTTTATCGAGGCACGATCCATGTCAGGTGAGGGTCCTCAGCCGTGAGAGTACACCACCACCACAGCACAACGGCATCAAAAGCCCAAGCTTCCTGCACATACGCGCCAAGTACAGGAGTCCACCGTCCGAGCCAGTATCTGGCCGTTAATATTATCACTCGAGTCATCCCATCCACGTAATACTCAATGCACAGTGCCTCAGGATGGGGAATTAACGTTAAACAATAAACAATACAGTAATAATAATCATTCGAGGGTTCAAATTCACAGCGTTCACAAGCACCATTATATTTCGAGTATAGAAACACGTATCTGTGAACGATTTATCATTCATTAGTGTTAATATTACACATTGTAAACTATTTTTCATAGCATCAGGTTGATCAAGGTCCATTCGGCACTGTATCTCTGTTGAATGCGAGAATTTCAAATACAATGTCTAACGTTTTTACACGAGACAGATATTTTGGAGAAACTTAATCGGTAATCAATGCTCACGTGTCTTATACGACGTTTAAGATTCAATCAAGTATTCTTAGCATTCTTCATGGAGTTATCGAATTTAATGCACGGGTTACTAACGTATTTATGCGGGGGTCAAGTAGTTTCATCAGTCGAGGATTATAAATATAACAATTCCAGTTTGTCTTCCGAGATTAATGAGCAGTGAATTAGTGGAGATGAATGAGTATTTGCAGATTTAACAAGAAATCAATTCTGCGAGGAAATTATCTGCATTGTTATGTTATAACATGTGAGTGAGTTGGTCTGTGAGAATTCATCGAGACAATTCCTTCATGCATTCCACTTTTGCATTTTTTTAAAAGAGAATTTTTGACATTTGCATGCATTTTTTGTCGATTAAAGTGTTCAACTTGGCCCTCGCAGTAGCTTGAAATGACAATTAAATTTGCCTAAAGCGCTTGAAAAATTGGCAATCACAAGGTCATGGTTATTAATGATTGCACTTTAGAATCATCGCTCTGTTACCATATACACAAACGATATGGTGTGGAGAGGCGATGGTTATCGTCAATTTCTCTGTAAACTCGATCACTATAAAATCCTTTGCACTTATCAGCACGCAATTGAAGTTTAGTGAAGTTAATCACACTATTGCCTCAAACCACAAAACAAATATTGGCTCAGTATTGTAATACTTAATGATACTTTTTGTATTTTTATATAAACTATTAGAATAGTGAATTCTAAAATTATGGGAATCAGGAGTTTGGAAAATTTTTTGTAGAGATAGTGGTATAATCATTGAATTTTTCAGAAATGCAAGGGAACGTTTTGTAAGGGCATACCAAAGCAAAGGAGTACGCGACGAGTTGTGTCAGCACGTTGAGGCTTATTTACGATTCAATATTACAATTTTCTTGGAAAAATTGATTAATGTGGTGAATTTATAAAACTTATTAAGTCAAATACGAAATTAGTAATTATCTCGATAATTATTGAACTTGGGGGAAAAATTTCTGAACTTATTTTTTGTACAGAAGAAAATTCTTTACAAAAATATGTTTTCACTTCTTCTCCTAGTGTCACTCATCATCTAAACATTTAGCAAAAGTTTTATATTTGATTCTTCGATTTTTCTCTATTCCACTGATGATTTAATTCGACATTGGCTGTATACTAGTATCAAAAATTATTGTGCAACTCTCTAGCATAGAAAAATCTAATTTATTATTTTTTTATTACTTTTTTTTTTCAATCGATTCCAGGACATTTCTGACAACAATCATTCATGAATTCAGTGATGAAGTGGTAGAACTTTGTTTTGTTAAATTTCTGTTAACAGCGAGTGTTTTAAGGAGACAATCTTCGAGAAAAAATGACAAACAGAAATGTTTCTTGACAGATTTTTCAAGACTAGAATCCTTTATTATTCAGATGATTTGATATTTGAGATGTGAAAAATCGATTTGTTCCGCCTCTTCATGGCTGAATTGAGTATTTTTTTTTAGTCAAGACTGTAATTTTTTTTTCGTCCTGAGAATTCGGAGTTTCGCCATAACATAATCTAAGTACGTTAATCTGTACCAATTGAGTTGATAGAAATGGACATTTTCTAAGTGAGAGTTACCTGTTTGTCTGGAACATGGGAATAATCGGTTGTACCGAGGTGGAAAATTTGTTTTTTTTAATTAATTATAAAGCTCTGTAGATTGTAATAATTCTAGGGCAACTTGTTGGCAGTATTTGAGTTAGTCACGTTAATCGAAATGATAGAAATACCTTCTTTGTGATTAAGAAATAATGGCATTGCAAGTTTCTTAACTTGGCAATAACGGAATAAGTTTTTTTTCATTGAATATTTACGATTTAACTTAACAGTTGGATTAAGTTTAACTTTAATTGTTATTTTTTGTTGAGTAATAAAATGTTTAATTCCAAGGATTGTTAGTGTTTCATTGAAGACCTCTTTATTTTTACGTAAATATTTTCGGCCATTTAGTTGTCGGGAAAAAGGAAAGGATAACAAGATGATTTGATAATTTTTCTAATGAACTACAAGTGCTAGCACGTCTAAAAAAATCCCACATCAATCTTTATCGTCTTTTGACATTTTCCCACGTTACTCAAAGAAAATCGATGAAAGTTAGCAAATGAATGATGATAAAATTATGATAATCGGTCGGTAATGAAATGATTAATTCCAAGGATCGTTAGTGTTTTATCAAAGACCTCTTTATTTTTACCTAAATATTTTCGTACAATTCGATGTGGGTGTAAAGAGAGCACTTACAAACTTATAAACTTAATTATTATCCATTCGTGGATTAATGTAGGCATGTTAATTTGGTTCATGATGTGTTTACCACTAAATTAAAGTACTGTATACCGATTAATGGCACGTGTAACTCATTGAAGATGACTTGGATCATAAATTATAATGCATAATGTTTTGTGAAGATAAATGTCTTGATTAAATGCTGCGACAGACGTCGCTGGTCTTTCGACATTACGAGACCATAAAAAATGCTAGAAAGAAAATACGAATTTTGTCGTCATTCATAAATTATAGAAAAGAAATTCATATTTGAGTGGTGGGACGAGATGTATCGATTTTGCTCAACAATTTTTCGCCAAATACCTCCGAATCCGAAGAACGTATCGAAATTTTCAGACCTTTTTCGATTTGTGCTACAGTTTAAATAGGCAAAATCATTTCGGTCCACCACTTCGGTTCGGAATCGTTGGAAGAACGTGTGGAATCGTTCTGTTCATCTCAGTTGGACTTCAGAATTATTTCTTCTTGCTTTTGCCGAGAGTTAACATGTGATGCTGAGACTGCTGAGCAATCTGAGTTTTTCGACGATTGAACTCAACTATGTCGTCCTCCAACTTCTTCCGACTTTCTTCTAATTTCTTTTTCTCCTCCATATGGTCTTTTTTGAGCTTATCGAATTTATTGTGGAGCTGGAAAATAGAGAAGAATATTTGTGGATTATTGCCATTATTACATCACAAACATACATTAAATTATTGTTTTCATTGCAAAAGAAAATTTTCGTCATATCGAAAAGGATTCATCATCTTAAAAGTGATTCTGATCGATAAAAAAATATTGACCAAGTAATCTGCATTGTTGTTACAACATGGCTCACATTATGTATTGAACACGCCTCAGGAGTGAGTTGGTCTGAAGGAATTCATCAAAAGACAATTCCTTCATGCATTCCACTTTTGCATTTTTTTAAAAGAGAGTTTTTGACATTTGCATGCATTTTTTGCCGATTAAAATGTTCAGCTTGGTCCTCGCAGTAGCTTGAAATGACAATTAAATTTGCCCAAAGCCCTTGAAAAATTGGCAATCACAAGGTCATGGTTATTAATGATTGCACTTTAGAATCATCGCTCTGTTACCATATACACAAACGATATGGTATGGAGAGGCGATGGTTATCGTCAATTTTTCTGTAAACTCGATCACTATAAAATCCTTTGCACTTATCAGCACGCAATTGAAGTTTAGTGGAGTTAATCACACTATTGCCTCAAACCACAAAACAAATATTGGCTCAGTATTGTAATACTTAATGATACTTTTTGTATTTTTATATAAACTATTAAAATAGTGAATTCTAAAATCAAGGAAATCGGGAGTTTGGAAAAATTTTGTAGAGATAGTGGTATAATCATTGAATTTTTCAGAAATGTAAGGGAACGTTTGGTAAGGGCATACCAAAGCAAAGGAGTACGCGACGAGTTGTGTCAGCATGTTGAGGCTTATTTACGACTTAATATTACAATTTTCTTGGAAAAATTGATTAATGTGGTGAATTTATAACACTTATTGAGTCAAATACGAAATTAGTAATTATCTCGATAATTATTGAACTTAGGGGAAAAAGTTCTGAAGTTATTTTTTTGTACAGAAAAAAATTCTTCACAAAAATGTCTTCTCACTGCTTCTCCTATACTCACTCATCCTCTGAACAATTAGCAAAAATTTTATATATGAGTCTGATTTTTCTCTATTCCACTAATGATTTAATTTGACACTCGCTGTATATTAGTATCACAATTTACTGTGGAACTCTCTATCAGAGAAAAATTAACATTTGTTATTGGATTAAACATGCACTCTAATTTTTCTCATTGCAAAAAGGATTTTTTATCATTTCAAAAATAAAGTAATCATCCAAAATATGGTTCTGACAGATGAAAAATGATTTGAATCATAACAAAAAAAATTATCATGATTTTTACCTCCTTTTCCGCTTCTTTCAATTCAGCCTCCTTCTCCTTGACTCTAGCAACAAACATTTGTCTCATTTCGTCCTCCTTCTGCTGTAATTCCTGCAAATGAGTGGATCTCTTAGCCTCACAAGTCTGCTGAAAGCTGACAGGCTTATTATCACTGTCCACATCACTGAATCCCATCTGCTCCAGTCGCTTTTTACGATAGAGCTCGTAGTGACGACAGTGCGTCTTCTCCCTCATGTCCTCCATGTTCGTTCTGATCAGCATCTCCCGTAATTTAACGAAATCGCAGTGGGTCTCGTTCTCCACTTGAACTGTGCCCCATGGATACTGACGCGAGCGCATCATCTTGTTCCCAACGCGCACAAAGTCAGTGCTACCGACCACAGCAAATGGCACGTGAGCATTCATCGTGGAATTTATCTCGACTACGTTGTCGTCGTCCACGGGGAATTGGTAAATGTTGACTCCATTGTTCTGGAGCTCTGACATTATTTTACTCTGGAAGAAGAATTTAGTAATTATTCGAGTGGAATTGACTGATAAGAAGAGTTGAGTTTACTCCGCTGCTCTCGAGCTCTGACATTATTTTGCTCTGGAAGCGGAGTTTAATCATTATTCAAGTGGAATTGATTGATAAAAAGAATTGAGTGAGGAAGATATTGTTTTTAATTGATAAAAATGGATTTATCATTCTGAAAATTATTTTAACAAGTAAAAAATCCATTTGAAACACAAAAAAAATACTTAAGAAGGTTTTATTGCTGAGATATTGACGAAATAATTTGCTTTATTTTATTACATCATTTAAATTATGGCACTCTGAAATTATGTCACTCGGGAAAATGAGTTTAATAATAATTCAAGTCGAATTAATCGGTTGATTGATGATTGAAAGCATTGTTATCATTGCGAAAATTAATTTGTCATCTCAAAAATGATTCCGATCGATAAATAAATTATTTGAATCATAAATAAAAACATTAAAAAATGATATGTTCCTGAGATGTTCGGAAAATAATCTGCATTGTCATATTATAAGATGATTAAAATTATGGTGCTCTGAAATGATGGAACTCTGGAAGAATTTAATAATCGTGAAATGGAGATGAGATTTTTCAAATTAATAAAAGTATTCTTATCAATACAGTATGATTTTTATAATCTTCAAGAAATCGTAGTCTATCGTATTTTTAACAGAAAAAAAATCTTAAATTAGTTTGAAGTGTTTTCCTAAATTCTTACCTTAAATTTCTGGAGTTCTGTCTTTGATATGGTATCAGCTTTAGCAATAATCGGGACAATGTTGACTTTGGTGTCGATTTTTTTCATGCAGACGAGATCGATAGACTTTAATCTGCAAAAAAGTTGACCCAAATTTTAAATGAAAATGTCATAATTTCAGGAATGAGAATTCAGTGGTCAAGAAGTGAAATAAAGGAGCTCCAGAAGTGAAATAACTATTCTAAAGTAAATTACCACATATTTGGTGAACGAAAACCAATTTCGGTCTAAATCTCCTAATTCCACAGATATTCCGCAAAATAAACTGCATATAAATTTGACTTTTTAATATAGTCGGAGATTATTCAGTAAATATTCCTAAAACTGGTGGATTCAAATATTCAAGAAAAATCTTAAATCGAATAAAAAATCGAGCTTTCTTGTAGCTTAAATTCTAATATATGAAGAAGGCTTTCTGATATTCTGCAGACCTACTAGTTTTTAAAATATTGAATAAGTAAATTTATTAAACATTTATTCTAAATTGCTTCTCAAATTATGCAGACAATTTCTATGAAATTAGTAGATTTACAGGAAATCTGAAGACTTTTTTGTGGAGAATTCCATAAGCTCCGAAAAGAGTCTAATTTTGTTTTACTGTACGAGCTTCAGAGAATTTTAGAATCCTCCTCTTCACCATTTACACTACAATAGTAAGTTTGTACCCTCACAATAATTAAAAAAACCTACCCATGCCCAGTAGGACAAATAAAATACAAGCAGACGTGAATTCTGGTGTCATGGTAAGTCCCCAGAGATCTCTTGATCTTCAGCTCCTCCTGCAGATACGCCTCGAACTGAGCATCTATGTAATCCACCACCGACTTGAAGCTGTCCTCCTTATTAATCTGATCCCCATACCCAACAGTATCAACAATTGCCAGCTTCAGCCTCACATTGCTCTCCTGCAGTTCGTAAGTGTGAGATTTCAGCTTGACAGTTGGTAAATTGTGGGGACTCGGATTGGACTCGAAACTCGTATTGAACAACGAGTCCATGAGTGTCGATTTCCCCAGGCCAGTTTCACCTTTATCACAAAAAAAAAATTAATAAACACAAAAACATTTACACAGATTATAGATTCGGGGTTTAGCTCATGTTCCATTTTTAGTTAACTAATGTCAGATGGTGTACCCAGAGAAATGACGTATGTGAATAGAATGGAAGTCGTTATTTTGAATTTTCTATCCATTTCAACAATATTACTGTTGGAAATTCCTGGATTTATGCATCTGTTCAATATAAATGTTTCAATTATATAAAACAAATAATTAATGGATCAAATAGACGATTATAACATGTTAATAAATTCGTTCTCTTCACTGGATCCAAAGACTCTATAGAGTCATTTCTATTTTTTTTTCATTTTCGATGAAAAAAAAACAAAAAATGAACGCAATTCGTATTGTGAACGACAAGTATAAATAATATACTGAAAAACAAATAATAATAATAATAATAAATAAATAATTAAATTGAAATCAAATGAAGTACTAAACGAAACAAATCCGTGAACTAAATAAGGAATGATGACTAATCGACGATGGAAAATTGAACGAAGACAAAATGATAATAATGTAAATAATTCACAAGATTCATTTACAATAATTATATTATATTTTACTTTTCCCTTAGGGGTTTTTTGTATGTCAAAGAAATAATCAATTGCTTCTAATCTAATTTTAATCTAATATTAACCATTAACCGTGAGGAGTTGTTATATTTTCGAATCAATGTACTGTATTAAAAAATTTCAACTGAATTTTTCGGATTTTAGCTTTAAAATATCAAATAAGTGACAGTTTCACTGAAATTTCAGGGAATTTTGGCTTTGAAAATTCATAATTTTCGTGGAAAAATCCATGGAAATTGTAAATTTCAATTGAATTGTTCCATGAAAATTAATGGAAATGAGGAAAAATCAGAGAGAAATGTCCTTGAATTTTCAGGGAAACTTGAAATTTCATAGACTTCCTTCCGTTAAATTAAATTCAGTGTCATTTCTCGGAAAAATCTGATATTTTTTGTTAACACTGTAGAGAGGATTAAAAATTGAATTAAATCACTGATGCATTACAGCCATGCATGAAGAGAAAAAATGAGTATCGAGTGAAACATAAACGCTGGGTCATTTTCCACTGAAACATAATCTGTCATGACTCACCGATACATAAAATATTGAAGACAAATCCATTCTGCACGGATTTATTCACCAGCTGATCGGGAAGACTGTCAAACCCAACGTGACCAGCCAACTTGAGATTTCTCATGTTCGCCTCGAGCTAAAGTCCAAAAATAAATTCTAAATTTATTCTATTGTCGTGGGGTCATTGACAGTTGAGTGTCGCGAGTGCAATTGAACGGTATTTAGCACCGTAAATGGTACACCGGGTGTAGTACTGACAGGATGCGAACCAACGCCCCACAAAACCACGCAAAATCCCGGTGATTGATCAATTAAATGTGACGGATAATTTTTTTCGGGCGATCGGGGAACTCAGGGGAACGAATTGGCCACGAAAATTCTATTGAATTGGCGATGTTTATGATGATAATGTAAACATTGTTGTACTCACTTTGGCACGCTCAACGTCGACCGCCGCCATGTTTTATAAACTATGGGAGGAGAAGGGAAGAGTGCAAGTGCTTGATTTAAATACTCTAGGGTCCCTAGCGGGGTAGACCAAGATCTAGAAACTTCGGAGTTATCTGCTGATCGGTATCAGAAATATTCAGATGTTTACAGACATGGGAATGATCATAATTTGAATTAAATTTGAATTTTGAATAAGTAAATTGCCAATATTGCACGTATGAAAAAATTCAATAGAAAACCCAGTGAATTCACTAGAAAATTCTATTGGAATTCTATAGGAATTCTATGGGGTCTCTAGGTGATTTCTATTGAAATTCTATTGAAAAATTCCGTTTGTTTTTTTCGCTGATTCTATCGGATATTCGATAAGAAAAAGACAATAGATTTCTGTTTAAATTTTTCTCTTCAGATTTTTTCTATGAGAACGCTGGGGCATCAATTTTCCAAGTGTTTTCCTCTTGCATTCTGTAATGCAAAACAAAACAAAATGCAGCGCAAAAAAATGGAAAAATTTGTGCACAATAATTCTAAGAAAAAAGATTTAAGAGAAAAATTCAAACTGAAATTCGAAATATATTCACTTTTTCTTATTGATTATCCGATAGAATCAGCGCAATCAACAAATAGAATTTTTGAATTGAATTCCAATAGAAATCCTATAGAAACTCCATAGAATTCCTATAGAATTCCAATAGAATTTTCTAGCGAATTCGCAGTTTTCTATAGAATTTTTTCATGCGTATACTCACGAATTTTTTTATTATTAAAATATGCAGGTATTGTTGAGCCCTATCGATCGCCATTGATCAAAATTTAATTCATTTATAAACTTTAATTTTTTTTTTAATTTTTTCAAAAATTGTTTTTTCACGATAACTAAAAAAATGTTCTGAATTGATTAAATGATGGCTTAAAAATTTGTTTGGATGTCCTTTTGACCGAGTTCGAAGATGAAGGCGATAGCAATAATCGTTATTTTGATTCATTTGAAAATTGCAAAAATTTTGTATTTTTTGAAAAACAGAATTCCGGGGATATCTTTGAATATCATGCTTCAAATGAATTCAATCATAGCTTAAAATATGTGTTTTAATGCGATTAAGTCGAAGTTAAAAGATGATTACGATAGCTATATTGGTTGATGTGATTTTAATGATGATTGTTAAAAATTTCTAATTTTTCATGAATTTCCTTGACAGTGAGCTTTCTGCTGGTTTCTTCAAATGCGATGTTTGAAATTCATTCGAGTATGTATAAATAAAGTTTTTCTATTAACATTTTATCGAAAAGTTAACGGAGCCATAGGACCGTAAAAAAGACAATTGGTTATATAGAAGGAAGAGATAATAAGAATAATGATGATGATAACATTCAATTTTATGAAATGAAATAAACAATTAATTATACATAATAGAGCAAAATCATATGCAAAATACCCATTCGGAAGCATATTGCCAATTTATTAGCAAAAATAACTATACTGTATGCAGTACCAGAGCAATTTCCCACTGGTTTTATGTTATTAAATTAAATAGTGAGAAAATTCTATTGAATTTCTATTGAACATTTAGATAGAATCGGCTGAAAACTAATAGAAAGTTCAGTAGAAATCCCGTAGGATTTTCTACCGAATTCTCTAGCTTTTTATATTAAATTTTGTCATCCGCGCAGTTCAACCAAATGATATAAACTCAACAATAAGTTATACAGCAAAATTAAAACCTAATAGTTTCATCAATTCCACAAAAAAACATGTGAATCAACTACAAAATTTCATAATAAAACGTCGAAAACCCACCGTAATTTCCTAGCTCCTGAGCTAGCACGCACGAAAAAATTTAATAGAAAAACCTATCGAATTCGTTAGAAAATTCTATTGAATTTCTATTAAACTTTCTATTAGTTTTTAACTGATTCTATTGACATATTCAATAGAAAACATTCAATAGAAAAAGTCAACAAAATTCGATTTTTCTATATAACTCATTTTTTTCATGTATTTTCTACAGAATTTGCTCGACTCGAAGTTTCTAAGTTTTTTTCATTCTATTTTTCTTTTCTTCTCACCAAGAAAATCAAACGAAAAAACTTAGAAAATTTGATCCGCGGAAATTCTATAGAAAATATCTCAATAGAATACGTTATATAGAAAAATTGAATTCTATTGACTTTTTCTACTGAATATTTTCCATTGAACATTTTAATAGAATCGGCCAAAAACTAATAGAACAGTTCAATAGAAATTCAATAGAATTTTCCACCGAATTCGATAGGTTTTTGTATTAAATTTTTTCGTCCGTGAGGTTCAATAAATTTTGCTGAACATATCCCGAGAATCGCGAAATTGAATTTATCCAGCCTCGATAAGTTACCGAGCAACGAGAATTTTCCTCCCCTTCACCCAAACCAAGAACACGTCACCACAATTTTCTCCGCAAGAACACATCACCACAATTTTCTCCGCAAGAAAATTGACAGACACATTTTCCCGCATAAAATCGAATGAATGACGGAGTTCTATCGATTTTGATAACCAAAAGGCACGAATACGCGTAAAAAGTTGCATGCGGCGTCCGCGGGGGGCCATTGTCGCTCCAGTCGTCGAACGGCGGCCGCCTCATTCGCGAGCAGTCCACCCACCTAGGGACTTTTCCACCCGTCATACTGTCAGACCCCTCATAACAGTGTCCACTTTCTAACATGGCAGATCGATTTGTGTTGTATTATCATGTGACGGATAAACTAACGCGTTAAATGTTAAACTATTGGTGTATTTAATTGTTGTTATTTAACCAGAAACAGTGTCGATATACGCAAATCGTGAATTAAAGTGTGTTTGATAATGGCGGACATTAAAAGTCCACCGTTCAGTGACATAAAGAGACCGGAGGAGGTGGTGGCGATGGCGATGAACGACAGCCTCAAATTTGCCGTGTTGATCGGCTTAATCGAGGTTGGACAGGTGTCTAATCGCGAGGTAGTCAACACCGTTCTTCATCTGGTGAGTTTTTTCGACAATTGATTTTTCAATTGGAGCTGCGGAAGAGTGGCGAAAAAATTCCTTGGGGGCGAGAGATTTTTATTCTCGCGAATATTTTGGGGACGAGGGCTTCCTCGTGTGTGTCCTTGGCGGCTTTCTGTCAGGATGAACTGTCAAAACTTGAAGTTCAGTCGCGTGAGCGACCAATCGGGAAACGTGGACTGCATGACACCATCGGAGCAGTCTGATAATTATCGATCTGTCCATGTGTGAATTATTGAGGGAAGGGGGAGTGTAATTGCATGCGGAATTGGCCTTTCGGAGTCGTTACATTTGTCCGGTAATTTGAAAATATTGGGGCTGGGCGCGATAGACATCGGGGAGGGGATTTTTGAGGGGGAGGGCTTTCGGGTGGAACACTTAAAGTTCCGCTGAAATTTCTGGAAATCTTGTCATTGAAAAATCTAATATTCCACTGATTTTCTGATCAATTGATCTGGAAATCAATAAAATACTTGATTTTTCAGTTGAATTATTCTGTGAAAATTCCGAAAAATTAGAAAAATTCAGGGAAAAATTGAAAATTTATGTCATTTTGTTTCGGAATATTCATGTTCCACTGAAAATTCAATCAAGTTGTGTAATTTCCATCTCACTCCCACTGAAAACTCATAAATTTCCGTGAATTCTACTTTAAATTTGAAATTTCATAACCATATTTTCCCTAAATCCGATTCAATGTCACTCTCATGAGATTCACTGTAATATCTTCCATGAAATTTCAAAAAATTTCTAACAGTGAAGTTCGAGGGATGTAAGGGTTGTTTTTTTAGAGTTTCGGAACGGGGGGGAACGGAGGGATTTGGGAAGTTTCGCGTGGGGAATGGATTCATCGATTATTTTGAGGAAGAGGTTAGTAGGAATTTGTTGAAAGATTTTACTTGTGTAATTTTATATGTGAAAAAGGTTCTTCACTGAGAGGGAAACGACAGAGTTCTCAAACAAGTCTTACTTGTGGCAAAAAAATTGTTTTTTTTGTAATTATCAAAGAAGGTATTTTTTTGATAAAAACATGTGTTAGTTACAAAACAAAATGTATTATCGGTGCAAAACAAATATCGGAGCTGCCTGATAATTATCGACCTGTCCATGTGTTAATTTTTGAGGGAAGGGAAAGTGTAAGTGCATGCGGAATTGTCCTTTCGAAGTTGTTACATTTGTCCGGTAAATTGGAAATATTAAATATCATTTTTTTTAATGGTGAAATCGCCTGGTAAATAATTTCGTTCTCGGACTGAGAGAAAAAAGTTTTCCAACAGGATGAGATTCTCTTGTCCCGAGAGAATTTTTTAGTGTTCTCAAGACTAGAAATGATGTCCTTCCCATAAATTCATGTAGTTTGCGTTATATCTAGAATTTTTTTTGATCAAGACTTTGATTACATAAAAACGTGCAAAGAGCACAACACTTGAGACTAATTTTCTTTGCACTTGAATTGATAATGAAAGTGTTCGTCGTGCAATCGAAACAAGAATTCCTCAGTTGGAGATGAGTGATCATATCGGGAAAGTGTGAATTCTCACAATCCATTAAATTCTAGATATAACGCAAACTATATAAACTCATGGGAAGACTTATGCTAACACTTAAAAATTTTCTCGGAACAAGAGAATCTCATCCTGTTGAAAGACTTCTTTCTCTCAGTATGAGCGCAAAATTATTTACCAGGAGATTTCACGATTCTAGAAATTGACAATAGAATATTTTTTTCTATCAAGGAAAGCATCTTCACAGGGAGAAATATTCAATAAAAATTACGTATCTTTTCCGCAATTCCGGAGCGAAATGTGATTATAGGAAATTTCACGGAACTGTCATTTTTCCAGAGCGTTCCGTAATTTTTATCTGAATCTCCTGTGAAAAATTACGATACCGTCACTTAAATTTCTTGAGTCGATTCCGTAAATCGGTGAGCGAATTGCCAGTTCCGTAATTTTTAGCTGAATCTCCTGTGAAAAATTACGATACCGTCACTTAAATTTTCTGAGTCGATTCCGTAAATCGGTGAGCGAATTGCCAGTTCCGTAATTTTTACAGAACATTACTCTCCTTGTTTGTCAAAAATAATTTCTTCTCTCAGTGTAACTGTCACACCATGAAAATTTCCAAAAAGTGTGCCATAAATTTCATATTCATTAATTTTCCAAAGTATTCAGTGTAAACAGAGGATTACAGTATGGACTCCGCTGGGATATTTGTAGCGCAGTGTTAACGATTACACGAGTCTCATGTGTACCGCTGAAGACTCTCCGTCATTGTCTGACAGGGCTTCGGTCCCCCAAGTGATCCTGCTCGTCCACCACGCCTCATGACGCGCTCTTTCCCCTCATTTTTTTTGTTTCCCCTAATGTCCCCACCTCATGTGACCCTTACCCACGCACTAATTTCCTCCCCCGGCGTTTTTTCCTCCACTTTTTCTACTTATTTATTTTCCACGAGCGTTTGCGAACCCCCACCCCCACAATGCACGCGTCTGTCACATCATTTTTCTCTCTGGACGCGTTAAATTTAATTTACCGGAGCTTTTCTCCACTCCTCCGTGACCTTTTTTCAAAAGCAATATTTCCCGACGCAAAATTTCATCGACGCTCCTATCGTGATTTCCCCGTGAGCCGAACTCATGTAGTGAATATAAATTTTCATGCTTTTATTTTGTATTCTGTCAGTCGTATTTTACATTTCTATTTGAGCTTCAATTTCACCACATGTTGACAGATTTTTGTCTGCACTTCTCCGGCTCTGAAGTTTATCCGATACTTTGCTCTCTGCAGTATTTTATTTCATTGAAAAAAAAACACAGTAAATGTCATTCGAATGAGGAAAAGCATTTTGTTAATTCGGTCAATTTTTTTCGCAGATGAGTTTTCCAAAGATTCACGGGGAAAAAACACTCAAAAAGTGCAAAGTAAATTCAGTAAAATTACATTGCCGAAGGCAAAATTGATCTTTTGCCACATTTTTTTGCGAATTTCACGCAAGAATTCGTGAAATAGAATTCGGCTCTGCGCTTACCTACGAATTTTTTGTGATTTTTTTCTCCATTTATGGAATCGAGTGAACAGAGATGGAAATATTTTTGTAAAAAAACATTTACAGTAATTCCGCTATCTTTTTTAGATATAAAAAAATCAGTGTGCAATTGAGATGATCGAGAACAGAATGGGATCACTTTACAGTGATAGAAAATTACTCCTGAAATTTCAAGTAGAAAGGTTTGAAATTTTCAACAATCACTCATTCCCACGAAATTTTCATGTATTTTGTTATCGAAAAATCAGTTGAATTCTGCAGTATTCAATGGAGAATTTTTTTCCCAGTGTATTAGGACAATTTTAATGAATAATCAAATATTAAACAAGTGGAAATGCTCTACTGTGAATTGCTCTCTTCACAATATATTGAATGTCTTTTTGCTAATAAATCTCCGATTAGCTTCCGAATGGAATTTTAACAACAATGTATGTTAAATTCTATAGCCAAGCGGTAAATCGATTTAACCCTTCGTTTCCCCTCACGGTCCCCCACCTTTCTCCGTTTTGTAGTGGTGTGCGTATGCCAGCGTGCTTCTCTTATGACGCAATAATACTCGGACGGACCCCCACTCCTCTCACACCGAGACGATTCGAGACTTACGCGAAGCAATGGGTTACGTAGATTTTGACTATTGGCCAGTTTTCAATGAATATCTCGAAATCTAAGATAGCTACCAAAATTTTTGCCACAACCTTTTTTGTAGCCCTTAATTCGCTCTACAAAAAAGGTCATTACCAACATTTCCTTATCTCCCTTAGATTTGGAGATATCCCTCGAAAACTCAACTAAGCACTAAGTCAATCGACTTAAATCGTTTAACCGTTTCGCTATTGAATTGAATAGAATGATTCATTGAATTAAACATTGTCTGAAAGTTGTCAGCCAACATTGCCCCAACGTTAGTATTTTTGCCTTTCCCTGAATATTGGTTTCAGAAGAGATTTTTCCAACAAAAGATAATGAGAAGCAGTAGTGAGAAGAATATTTTAAATTACAATTGGATTTTTTTTTAACAATTATTCTTTCCAATGCTTCCATTCAGAAACAGAAGAGCTATGAAACTCATCAATATTTTTACATAATTTATATTACCCATTAATAATTATTATTTAAAGAATTTCGTTAACTGGCACCTTTTCCTTTCAGTCTTCATTGAATCATTCTCCCCCAGAAGCATTACCGTCACAAAGTATTTCATTCACTTCTCATAAAAGGAAATTACCCCCACTGTATTCTTCATATCTTCTGAGGTAGAAGCTTTCTGATATAGGATTCCACCTGATGATAGAATTCGCATGAGAATTTCCCTCTGAATTTCTTTGCAGTATTTCGCACAGTTTAACCCCCTTCCAGACGAATGCTGGAGGTGGGTGATACAAGAACATGTTTCCTCGAATTTCTTTGACAAGCGTTCCCCGAATTCCTTTCACCTAAAATGCAAAAAATCCGTGGAGTCGGGGCGCATGTATCCATACCTAATTTTGCAAGTTGAATTCGCTGATAAAAAATTCACTTTCTCAACATTCCGGACACGTTCAGGCCCTTAATCTCCTCGATTCGTGTCCCTTATTTTTTGTCACTCTTTTTTTAACGCGGATTTGATATGGTGTTGGGGGATATTCTATGGGAAAGTTGTGCACTGTTAAAAATTTTCATCTGAATTTTGATTGTCAAATTTCGGAAATTTTTATTTTGTTTAACTGCCACTGAAATTCCAGGGACTCTTGTAATTGACTAATTAAATATTCCATTTATTTCATGTTGAAATGATCTGAAAATCAGTAAAATACTTTATTTTTTAGTTGAATTATTCTGTGAAAATTCAGAAAAATCAGGAAAATTCACTGATGATGATCATTCTTTCGACACTGAGTATGCCCCCTTCATGTATTTTTTACACGAAAAACCTCGCCAGTATGTGTTTTACT